CTGTTCCCATCCTCCCAATTCCCCAATTAAAAAAAATTTTTTTAAAACCCAAAAATCTCCCACCTCATAACACATCAGAGAATTTATATAAGAGAGAAACCTTATGAATGCATTGACTGTGGAAAAGATTTTGTACATGCATCACAACTCATTGTACATCAGAGCAATCATACAGGAAGAAAACCTTATGAATGCAAGGAACGCGGGAAAGCCTTTAATAAAAAGTCACACTTTATAACACATCAGAGAATTCACACAGGAGATAAGCCATATGAATGCAGTGAATGTGGAAAAGCTTTTATAGACAACTCACAGCTTATTGTTCATAGAACTCATACAGGAGAGAAACCTTATGAATGCAGGGAATGTAGGAAAGCCTTTAATAAAAAATCATCCCTTATAACACATCAGAGAATTCATACAGGAGAGAAGCCTTATGCATGCAGTGAATGTGGAAAAGCATTTATAGATAAGTCACATCTCATTGTCCACCAAAGAACTCACACAGGAGAGAAACCCAATGAATGCAATGAGTGTGGAAAAGCTTTCATATGAAAGGCAATGCTCATTGTCCATCAGAGCACACATACAGGAGAAAGACCCTTTGTCTGTCTTGAATGCCAAAAAGCCTTCAGCAGCATGGCAATGCTCAGTAGACATCAGTTGGTTCACACAGCAGAGAAACCCCATGGGTGCAATGAGTGTGGAAAAGCTTTCCACCAGAAAAGCCATCTTATTATCCACCAACGCTGCCATACTGGAGAGAAACCCTATGGACGCATTCCATGTGGTCAAATCTTTAACCAGAAGTCACAGCTCATTAGACATCAGAGACGTCACTCAGGAGAGAAACCATATCAATGCACTCAATGTGGGAAATCCTTTTTTGAAAAATCATACCTCAGCGTCCATCAGAGAAGTCATGCAGGACAGAAACCTTATCAGTGTAGTGAATGTGGGAAAACTTTCTCTGTCAAGTTCTTTCTCACTTCACATGAAGAAATTCATACAGGAAAGAAATCTCAGAAACACAGTGAGTGCTGCAAAGACTTTAGTGAGATGTCAAATCTCACTGAATATAAGAGAATTCACACAAGAGACAGCCTATGAATGTGGTGAAAGGTAGGATACTTTTAATTTTAGGATATATTAATTTTAGCCTTTGTAAATTTCAGAAAACTTAGAGGAGAGAAATCTCTTAAATGCAGTGAATATAGGAAGATTACTTGCCACCAACATAGTCTCATTTTTCATTAGAGAAAGGCAATATGAATGAGTTGAAAAGTCAAAATCATTTCTTGAGAAATTCCATTATACATCACACAGAAGTGAAACCTGGTGAGTGTAACAAATGTTCTTGACCTGTTATCATAAAATATTCAATTTTCACTGAGGAAAACTCTCACAAATGTTGTAAATCGTGGAGTACCTTTCATACAAATGAGTTTTCATACTAAAGAATACAGATGACTGAAGATTTGTAAAAAGGGATGCCTCTGGCCTGAAGTCAAAACTTACTGTGCACCAGATAATACTTATTAAGAATTAGCATAGTGTAATGATGGTGGGAAAAGTTGTTTACATATAAACAACTCTATAATAAAAATTCTGATCTTGTCCAATTAACACCTATTTATAGAAAATGTACACAGTAGTCATGTATGAAGAGCAGACAACTTTAGCATGCCAAATGACACTTGGTTTCATGTTTGAATATATTGCATAGTCAAAGCAGTAAATTAAGAAAGGTCCCAGATGTGTGTATTTGCTTTGTGTCTGAATATTTTTGTAGAACATGCAATTAATCATTTTCAGATTTAATAAGATAATGAATTTTGTGTACCATGAAATTCTTGTTCCAGTTTGTATGTGTAGTATCCACCAAAAAAATGCCAACATTGTAAATTTTTGCATATCATATAAGTTGCAAGGGAAGTAATTAGGCTTAAGATTAAACAAGACTGCAACTTAACACCATTTATATTTTTGTTTTACTGTTTACTGGTATATGCAAATAGAATTGGAGTTCTTTTCAGTCCTTTGAAATAACAAATTTTTAAAAACAAATTGTCTTCCGGTTGTCACTGGAAAAAAAATTTTTAAATATTGAGATTTAAGAGTGATGAGTAATCACAGCTCTTCTCCCAATGAATTTCTGAAAAACTGGAAGCAGCTGCTATTTTCAAAGAAATAAAGATTAAAATGTCACTCTTGGTGGTGGCATTGCTCATATAAGATATGTGACTTGGAGCTGGGCCAGGTTTGCTTCCCATAACTTTAATAAAATATAGGTTTTTTGTTTGTTTTTTTTCCTAGGGTTTCCATAACAGAATACTATAAATGGAATGGCTTAAAACAGTAGAAAGTTCTGGAGTGTAGAAGTCCAAAATGAAGGTGTCATCAGGGCCATGTTCCTTCTGAAACCTGATGGGGAATCCTTTCTTGCCTCCCAGCTTTTGGTGACTTGCTGGCAATTTTTGGCATTCTTAGCTTGTAGCTGCATGACTCTAATCTGCCATCATCACATTCTCCCTCTCTGCCTGTGTCTTTACATGGTATCTTATAAAAAACACCAGAAATATTGGATTAGTGACCCACCCTATATCAGTGTGACTTCATCTTAACCAGTTACGTCTGCAACTATTCTGTTTGCAAATACAGTCACATTCTGAGATATTAGGACTTAAAAACATACTTTTGGAGAGAGGCTACACTGATTCTGGTACCAATTCCAATGTCTGTGTGTCGGTGTGCAGGTTTCACACACCAACAAACAATTCTCAGACATCAGCAGGGTGTCCAAGAAGTCAGCTCATTTCCAACACTGTCTACCTGGAGATAGCATCAGATTCCACAGGTTTCGGGTTCAGGCTTACAAGACTGCTCCCTCTTCAGGTACCAGCCACAAGCCCAGGCACTTAACACATGCTTCTCACCAATGGCTATAAATTGGAGGTTCCAACAACCCCCTCCAACTCAGAATGCCAGTCACAAGTCCAAGTTGTTACCTGTAATGGCTGTAAACCAGTTTCCCACAGCCCCCTCCTCTGATTCGATTAATTTGTTAGAATGGCTCACAGCACTCAGAGAAACATGTTACTAGGTTACTGGTTTATTGTAAAAGGATATAACTCAGGAACAGCCATATGGAAGTGATGCATAGGACAAAGTATGTGGGAAGGGGCATGAAGGTTCCATGCCCTCTTCAGGTGCACCACTCTCCAGTCCCCTTGTGTTCACCAACCTGGAAGCTTTCCAAACCCCATGGTGGGTTTTTATGGAGGCTTCATTACATAGGCATGACTGATTAGATCATAGGCCATTAGCAATTGATTCAACTTCTAGCCCCTCTCCCCTCCTGGAGTTAGGGAGTGGGTGGAACTGAATGTTTCAACTCTATAATCACATGGTTGGCTCCACAGGCAACAAGGCCCTATCCTTAGGTGCTTTCCAAAAGTCATCTCAATAACATAACAAAAAACACCTTTATCGCTCTCCATACTTATGAAATTTCAGAAGCTTGGGGAGCTGTGAGTCAGGAATTGTGGATGAAGACCAAATATGTATTTCTTATAAACCACAGTGTCACAGAGAGACCCAATTCATCTATAACACTTAATAATTTGGATGTTTACTAATAGAGATAGTCCCAGTTTCAGATAAGACCCATTTATCTAGGCAGGTACTCACTTGTTACGCCTCCAAAGTAGAGACAGGAATAATAGTCTGCATATAGGCCTCTTTGAGGCACACCCTGCATCCCATACCAGTGGTGTTTACCACCATGACAGATAGAGGAAATTTCATCCTGCCATCAGACTAATGCAAACACAAAAAGGATGTGAGCATAGGCAGCATTTACAGAAACTTTCGATAACTCACAGACGTGATACTTTACCCTTCCTTTGCAGAGAAGGTGAGGGCACAGGGACGTGTGCTTCCCAATATAGTGGACACAGTTGAAATATATTTAATAAGTCTAATTACAAATGCAAGCAGAGAAAATGTTTAAGCAAATTCAAAAAGGGGCAGTCATGCCAATTACATTGAATGTGCAAGCTTATGAAACATTTATACAACAGAACACTAAAAACAGGAAATAATTGGCCGAGAGCCACCCATATCAACGGGATGCATGTCACAAACTAGGTACACAGCTAGTTGCATGAGAATGCACCCAGTGTGTCTTCAGCAGTTATTACCTGTATCAATGTAGCAACTCTCAGACCCAAACAACCTTCTTAAACCCACTTAATGATACCTGGGCCTTGACCCTGTTTCCTGCGTCAGCTGACACAGCCTTAGGCTTATTGATACAGTACAGGAGGGACATTATATGGCCAAAGAAAGGGGGTTCTTTCTGGTTCTGATATGCTTTTTTCTGGAAGTATGGCTGCAGGCAGATTGGCAGGCTGGAGTTCCACTGGCCTTCGCCTTAGTGTTCCTCGATGATATGCTCCATCTCCCAGAGCCTCCAGGGTTTCTCCACCATCAGTGGGCCACAACTTATGGACCAAGTATGCCCCGCTGGCACCCTTCAGTGAGCCCTGCGACTTGCTAGGCTGCTTCCCTTTTGAGTTACTTTGTCATTGGCAAGCTGCACAGACCTGTGGCAGCCACATTTCTCCAATGAAGTGTGAATTTGACTTTGGGATTAAGAGAATCCCTCTTCCAAGTTCTTAGTTCCTCCCTTTCTTAGTTTCCCTGTCTCAACTCTGGAGGTAATGACTCCTTTTTTGCTACTTCTGTATTGCTTGGAGTCCTTTCAATAGTTAACTACTTGTTAAGAACTCTTCAAATTACTGATGATTTCTCCCTCATGCTGAACCCTAAGTACTTTTTATTTAAATTTGAGAAATTTACAAAATAACTATATTTTTCCATATAAAGACAAATATAGACAATTAAAAATAAAAAGCAACTCGAAGATAAAAAATTATGAAAGCTGTTATTATTGTTTGGGGATTGGGGCAAGGGGAGATTTGATCAGGGAGGAGACTAGGTACTGCTTCAATTGTATTGATAGTATTTTTTCCCCTTTTACCTCATAGGTGTTTATTTTTTGAGCATCATCAAAGCACATAAACATTGTACTTTTTAGTAATTATTAGAGTAAAAAATAATTTTGTTATTCTTCAATTTCATCTTTCCTCTGGCATCTTCATTCTGCTATATAGTAGCTGTAATATATTTTTTGGATTTTTTCAACTGTAAATTTCCATTGGGTTCTTTTCTATTGTTTATTTCTCCACTAAGAACTTGAGAACTCTTTCCATTCAAGTGTGTGCATGTGTACCTCACGAATTAGTTATAGCTGCTTTAAAGTCTTGATGATCCTAACGCCCCAGTCATCACAGGTTTGTCATGTGATTATGTTTTCCCTTTATAATCGGTCAGATTTTCCTGGTTCTTTGTATAATTGAGTAAATTCATGTACCCTGTGCATTTTGATTATGATGTTGTGAATCTATCCTGTTACAATCCTCTGGAGAATGCTATTTCTTTTTGTTTTAGAATACAATCAGCCT